TTGGAGATCTCCTCGGCCGAGTCGCCGAGTATTCCACCTCTTCACCGGCAAGCTCTGCTGCGCCATCGTCTGCTCCGGCTAAGGATGAGGGGAAGAAGACCTACGATTATGGTGGAAAGGGCGCGATCGGGAAGGTTTGCCAAGTTATTGGTGCCATTGTTGATGTTAGATTCGAAGATCAGGAAGGATTGCCTCCGATCATGACAGCTCTTGAGGTCCAGGATCACCCAACAAGATTGGTGCTTGAGGTGTCTCATCACTTGGGTCAGAATGTTGTCAGGACCATTGCTATGGATGGTACTGAGGGTCTTGTCCGTGGTCGACGCGTTCTCAAYACCGGCGCTCCAATCACTGTAAGTACTTTCTGTGTATAGATCCTTCCATTTGGATCGATGATCCGGGATTAGGGAGTCAATATAGGTTTTGCGTTGCCATTATCAGGTCTAGATCTGTGAATTCGTTGATGGTATTTTGCTTCATTTCGTGATTCCTTATCCTCAAAGTTGACTTTTCCCCCCCCCCAAAAAAACCACTTTTTTCTTCAAAAGTCTATTCATTTTCAAGGCTTTTCGTGTTCATTTCGATGAATTTGAATGATTAATCGATTCATTGATGCTTCCCTTTAGTTTTCATTTTCAAGGAACTCCGTATCCGTATGATTTTGATGAATGTGGATGACTAATTCTTTATTTGATGATGCCCTTATTTAGTAATCTGGCTAAAGTTGTGATAACAAATATATGACTTTTGGCTTGTTCTCACTTTTAAGGTCCCTGTTGGAAGAGCTACCCTTGGACGTATCATGAATGTTCTTGGAGAACCCATTGACGAGAGAGGCGATATCAGTAAGAAATCTAAGCCTCTCTTAATCAATGTCTCATTTTCTGCAAACCTGTCATGACATTGTGTTCTTGCTCTTGCACAGAGACCGAGCATTACTTACCAATCCACAGAGAAGCTCCAGCTTTGGTTGATCTAGCTACTGGGCAAGAGATCCTGGCCACTGGTATTAAGGTAGATTCTTGGACCCCAGCTCCGCACTGTTCCCACAGGTCACATTGTTGTCTGTCATGTTCCAAGCTTACATATGTTGTTTTATTACCAGGTTGTTGATCTCCTTGCTCCATACCAAAGAGGAGGAAAGATTGGGCTCTTCGGCGGTGCTGGTGTCGGGAAAACTGTGCTCATTATGGAGCTGATCAACAATGTTGCAAAAGCTCATGGTCTGTTTAACACTTAGGATTATTTCTGATCGTCTCTGTTTCAGTTTGTTAACTGGTATTTTTCCTGATGAACAGGTGGTTTCTCTGTGTTTGCTGGTGTGGGAGAACGAACCCGTGAAGGCAATGACTTGTACAGAGAAATGATTGAGAGTGGTGTCATCAAGCTAGGGGAGAAGCAGGTTTTCAATTAATTTTGATTAATCTTCATCTTTCTTTTTCCTGCAAATGGCATTTGATCAATCTTTGGTATTCAATTTCTTTCTGTTTTCCCGTACAGCTTGAGAGCAAATGTGCTCTTGTGTATGGACAAATGAATGAGCCCCCGGGTGCCCGTGCCCGTGTTGGTCTTACTGGTTTGACTGTTGCTGAGTATTTCCGTGATGCCGAAGGCCAAGATGTCTTGCTTTTCATTGACAACATTTTCCGTTTCACCCAGGTGAGTCGTGTTTCGGTCTATACCTCAGCACCTGTGTGCCCTATATGCATGATGAGATTGTAAATTGAAACTCAGTATGCTCTCTTGTATAGGCCAACTCCGAAGTGTCTGCTTTGCTTGGTCGTATCCCATCTGCTGTGGGTTACCAGCCAACTCTGGCTTCTGATCTTGGTGCTCTTCAAGAGCGAATCACAACCACCAAGAAAGGATCTATCACCTCAGTCCAAGCCATCTACGTCCCTGCTGATGATTTGACAGATCCTGCTCCTGCCACAACTTTTGCTCACTTGGACGCCACAACTGTGCTGTCAAGACAGGTGCGAACTCGTCTCCTTCTGATGCTTCTTTTTCGAAATATTATGTGTAACAATACTCATAATGCTGATATCTTTATACTTTTCTCTTTCCCATGTGAAGATTTCTGAGCTTGGTATCTATCCTGCTGTGGATCCCCTGGATTCGACATCCCGTATGCTGTCGCCTCACATTCTGGGTGAGGACCACTACAACACAGCTCGTGGTGTGCAGAAAGTGCTACAGAACTACAAGAATTTGCAAGATATTATCGCCATTCTGGGTATGGATGAGCTAAGTGAAGATGACAAGCTTACTGTTGCCCGTGCCCGTAAGATCCAGAGATTCTTGAGTCAGCCATTCCATGTTGCCGAAATCTTCACGGGTGCCCCTGGAAAATACGTCGACCTTAAAGAGAACATCAACAGTTTCCAGGTATATCCCATATGCATTAATACGATAGCCTATATGACTTGTTCCCTCCTCCATGATTGTTTGATATACCTGAGCTTATATGTATTGGAAATTGTTGCAGGGTTTGCTCGATGGTAAGTACGATGATCTTCCTGAACAATCATTTTACATGGTTGGTGGCATCGACGAAGTGGTTACAAAGGCAGAGAAGATCTCTAAGGAGTCAGCAGCTTAAGTGATTAATTCCATCTCTTTCATATGCTTAATACTTCTCTACTGTTTTTTTTTTTGACAATAACGAAAAAAAGCCAATACTTTAGGCGATGCTGCTGATGCATTGCGATTCCCATCATTGTGAGTGAGAGCTGTGAGATGATGCTGAACATATTCATTCACTGTTAAATTTTTGGTTCTTTTGCTTCCTTGACTTGTTGTAATAAAAGGTTAAGTCTTGCAGATTCCAATCGCAATGTGTTATCTTGATCTCAGTCTAAATCTTTCAGAAAGTGGTGCTAAGTTTTGAGATCATCTCATTTAGAACCATCATAAGCAATGTAACAAATGTATGACTATATTGAAATATTGCAAATGATCTAGCAACATGATGTCACACTACAGCTTCTTCCATAGCCTTCTTTTATGCTCTTATATACAACAAAACATGCAAAAATCAGAAGCCAGTTTTGTGCATTGACCTCACTTGAGACCACAAAAACACCACTTTCCATTAGAAGCTTAAGCTACCTTCTTTCAACAATGCTTTGTAATCTCTTGGCACATCAACCCGGTCGATCACATCCAACACTTTTTCCTTGTCGATAACGAAATCAAGAAGCGGAAAACCTGAAGGAAACCTTTTCACCGCAGCTGATTTGCTTCTTCTTACTCCACGAAAATATTCACTGCTTTTGCTCAAAGGGTCACACTTTCTCGCCCGCGAGTACTCGGTATCAAAATCTTGACTCTTGCTAACACATGGCGTTTTCTTTCTTTTGCTTGCCTCTTGTAACATCTTTTGCTCCTCATCTGTTACTAAAGGGACACCACTCGATGGTTCAGACATCAATTGCTTGTTCGTAGTATTCTCTGGAGACTTGATAGAAGAAAGTCTAGGAGCTACTCGAGCATCGCTTTTTGCTTTTGTAACCAAATGTTGTAACCAAATGATCTGTCCAAGAATGTATATCTCTGTCTTTTCTTTACTAGCATGATAGAGTGTTTCAATACGGAGTATATCTCCACCACTCGGCTTACTAGTGAAATCAGTCCTGTAAGATTATAAACGAAAGCATTGGCGAAAAACACACACAAATGCAGGTGAATATAAGTTGCAAGTCTCGTTTCATTCATCACTCACCCTGTATTTGCCCACTCTCCAACCCAACCGAAACCATGATGAGCTCTGCGATGAAACAATTCACGACCATTAGCCATAAAAATATTATTTCATAAGATGTAAAGTCGGTGTGAGGAAAGAAGAGACAGATGTTTTACTTGGTTGTGTTAGCTGCAACAGGGACAAGCCAATGCAGTGTCCTCTCCATCTCATCCTTAATTTGTGTCACCGAAAGCTGTTGGAAAAATCAAAAACAATACCACCTTGTGTTTAATGAGATTGGCTAAAAAATGAATTCTTTATTCAGTTTTGTAGATCAGAGAGACTAAACCAGAAGACGTTACCTCCTTATCGACATTGAAAGATTTAATCTTGGAACGAAGAGCCAATTTTATACCAGGTGGCAAGCTTTGGTATAGAGAATCCCTTGCATTTGAAGTTATAGAGCTCGCACGAGCAACCTACACCCATCAAAACACACATGCGATATGATTTGAGAGAATACACTTAAAAACCAACCAAACCAAATGAAGAAATGCTAAGTTTGTGCACTCACAAGTGTATCAATCTGCATAATCATATTTGCATAATGCAAAGCAAGACCAGCAGGTCCCAATCTTTTATCATAATCTGCAGCTCCTTTCTTCGATGGTTGATCATCTGGGCACAAAAAAATCAGGATTTGTGTGAATACTTAGTCATTGAGGATCAATTGACACGAGAAATTAGAGAATGTATTGGAATAAAACAGTCAACGGGAGAACATGCAAAGCTTAGATATATGATCATTATTAGCACATGGTGGAAGGTACAAAAAGGAGGAACTTACATACCGGCACCATCAAAGATACTATGAATCTCTAGCAACAAGAAATGTACAATATCTACTAGTTTCTCCATCACCTGAAATACAAATTAGTGGTAAAGATGAACATCATAATTAATTCTCCTTGGAAGATTTTTGTAACAAGAGAGTTAGTTTATGCTAAATTTTAGTTCGTGAAATGCAACGTTTTGTGTGATCAAGAACGATGCATTGACACCATATAGATGTATGATTTGGTAATATGAAATGATAAAGCTCTACCCACCTCTTCAAAACCTCTCGACCACAACGACTTTTTCTTTAAGCTTTTCACTATCTTTCTCTGGGATTTAAGTTCTGTTTTTAAGATTGCAAGGCCCTCTCCTACGTTTAAAAGAGAGGACTGTTACGAAAACAATGTTTCAAATCTAATAAAGTAGGCATGTAGTGTTCAATGACTTACCCTTACCGCTAGTAGCTGAGTTCTCTTCTTCTCGACGCCTATGCTCATAGTCTTTCTCCAATCGATCCAATACTTGGAGTTCTTGGTATAGTTCCTGAACAGTATAAGATATATTGAAACACATAATTCTGAGATGTCCGAATGCCATGACAAATAACCTGCATTTTCCTATCACACATCTTTCGAAAGTAAACAGATACTAAAGAGTAAAGGCAATAGCTCAAAGCACAGTATAACACATCTAAGTAGCAAGAACAAGACAATATGCTTTTAGAGTTTCTAATTTTAGATAGTATTCACTCACAGCAGTATACTGCACTAGAACCATCAGTTGTTCAACAACAAACACCGCGTCTTCCTTCAACTGCCTTTGAGGGGTTAATTCTTTGCTGATCCTGAGGACAAAACAAACATTTCAAAAACTAAAAAGAAAGCCATAACACACAAAGATTCACATAATCTCATGCACAACAATTTTGGATAAAACTACCTGTCGAAGTAGCGCTGTAAATTATGCCACTGAATATCTTTGGATCGGTTTCCAAACCGAACCACTTCTCCTGAGAAAACTTGCAGTTCCTGCCTGCAAATATAGCAGGTTAACCATCTCGTAATGTTTCCAAAGAGCTTAAAAAAAAGCAGTCTAAACTCGACTTTTCACCTCTTATCAGCAGCAACAAGTCTGAGCAGTTCAACGAAATCATTCGAGACAAGATTTTGAACACCCTCGGAATAAAGGACAGTTTCTTTCAAATGCTTGATGTTCCTCTTAGAAAGGGATTCAATGAGATTTGAGCTTTTCACAATTGTGTTTGCCACTTCAAAAGCTAAGATCCCTAGTTCATTGCCTTTGGTTGCAACTCCAGAAGTAAATCCACCGCTGCTAAGATCCGTCATGCTACTCCCAAGAGTATCCAAAACATCCTTTGCTTTACCTAACCCAGCTTTGCCTAAAAGTACACTTGCCTCTGTAACCTGCCACGTTATAAGCAAATCTGAATTGTTCACACTGACATTTTAGACACTTAAAAGACACTTGCAGTTACTAGGAAACAATTCTCTAACTCTTGATCGCAATCGCTAAAAGGAGCTTATTTGTAGCTTGCTATCTCAGTTTGTCCGGACTGACCTTTGAAACTGCGTTTTGAGTAGATTTTGCAGACCGGAGTTTCTGCGATGGAACCATTGGTAACCTCGGAATCCCATCATAGAAATTATCTTCTACTTCCCTTTCCCGGAAAGAGAACACATCTTTCAATTGGTTTTGCTCTTGGACGTCTTTAACCATACACTGCCTCATACCAGGACCAATCAAACTGGTTTGGCCAGGTGGTTGTGTGTAGCCAAAATCAGGTTCTCGACCATCATCAGCCACACTTGAACCTGAATATTCACTGCCAAAATTGATCCCAAGACTCTTGGAGCAAAAACTCCCCATAACTAACTCTTCAAAAACACCTCAAGCTAAGTTATTGGCAAGATCATGCCACTGTGAGGAGAGTAGTTTCAGAAAAAATCTCGAGACTTTTGATCCTAACCAGCGAGAGTAACAACCTAGAACAAAGGAAAAAGTCAGATCAAAAGACTTAAGGAATAACATTGACAGGATCGTGTCCGAAATAGTTCTCAAGACATTGCAATCGCCCTAAGGGAAGGATCACAAAGATATAACAGATTCGCACCATTCGTCTAACTCTGAAACACATCAAGCCACGAAGTAGTAGCCTTTAGGTCAAACACTGTGTAAGCCCT